CAATGAGAGCCCAGGTCAATCAGAGACTAGTGTCAGAACATTATAGCTGATACATGTTTGTAGGCTATAGTGGGGTAGCACATATGGGGTACAGATTCCTAGGGTTTGCTATTTGTACCAATTTGTGACTTAGTCATTTCATTCCTCTTCTCATTGTTTCACAACTAGGTCAACGAGAGCCCAGGTCAACGAGAGCCCATGTCAGTGAGAGCCCAGGTCAGTGAGAGCCCAGGTCAGTGAGAGCCCAGGTCAGTGAGAGCATAATGGTATAATGGTTAATGAGCTTAGATGTAAAAAGGGCCGCAGGGTCCAGGCTAGGTCTCAGCCTGAGCTGGGTCACATGCTTGGACGGTCATTGCCTGGGTGAGTGACAGCGTGACTCCGTGAACCAGGGCGAAAGCAGCAATGTTAATAAGGGCAACGAATGCGTCAAGGGGCTCTGCTAGTCTCTTGGCAGTGTGCAGAATCCGTAAGCAACTCCGTGTGTAACCAACAGTTGCGCATCGACCCCCTCTGACAGACTAGAAGCGCCTAGACCATGAGTTGTGAGCCTCAGGCTTGCAAAGATTTGAAAGCGAAGGTCTGACTGGGGAATGGATGGGGAGGCTTACCTCTAACTAGGGTTTCTTAGACTATCGTTTCCGCGGCTCGAAGTGTCCCAGCGGCGGCGCGGTACATCGATCTGCAGCGCGTGGCGCGTGATGGCGCGACGCGGCAAATTCGAAAGTGTTGCGACGGAGCGAGCGGACCAAAAAATAGTGACGAGAGCACAGGATGCGCGGAGTATAGTACGAGTCGCAAAGGGAATGGCGCCGCCGCGAGTCGTAGTGGTTCGTAGAGGCGATTCGAGTCGCCTTCTCTTGCGATGGGAGATAGCGCTCTTGCAATGCACGCCTAGTATGCGTCACGACTCAGATTATGGTGGCTAGACATAGCTGTACACCCTAATGCTCACTCAACCGCCCACTCTGAACACGCTCGCTGCCACTCCATACGCCCAGTGGTCGACATTCACAGCCAACGGCCCGCGCGTTACTAGCCCACGACAAAACTAAGATATTCTTGACCTCGAATAAGTTCTTCGAGTTTCCCAGACAAGACACGCTAGGCTACCCAAATACAGTCCCATTCTCCCCATGGGGAGCGCGCGCTCGAGAGAGGAGTACAGGGAAGGATGGAGAAGGGGACTGAAATAGGCATCAGGTGTAGTAGGAAGGAGTCATACGGGAGGTCTGATTACGACCCAGTACTCGAATATCGAGTTCGACACAACCGTTCCATTTCAGAATACACAGCCGATTGCCATTTGTAGGTTACCAACCGTGTTTTGCGACATGAAATTTATCTCGCACACCTATTAGTTCCGCGAAGTGAACAGCCAAACAAGCAGGCCCTGCGTCGTTCTCATTTCGCCCAAGCACGGCCTTAATCAAGGTACGAATTTGGGACGCGACTCCAAATTCGATGCCTGAGCTTGTGAGTCAGCTGTTGCCATCCTAAACATGGTTCGTATTCCTTTGTTGGTTTCTCGACCAACATTTGTTTGTAGTACCCCACTAGCTGTACTTTTGCAACTTCGTGCTTCTTCGTTGAATAAGGCGAGTGGTAACCGAGCATCAACTAGGCAAACCGTGCAAGTTGAACTACTGTCGTAGAATAGGTTCAAGTGGGCTCTTGCAATGTCGGGCACACACATATGCTCACATGCTCCTCCCACCATCTAGTCGCGTGGCGTTTCTAGTTATCAGAGGCGCTTGTGGTATCCGGATTTACAAGCGATCACAAGCGCACTGATACTGAATGCTGATTTTTTAATTTTTTTTTTTGGCGTATCCGGCGCTTCTCCTGCTTCCGTCACGGCGTCCTACAGAGTGGCGCCGCATTTTGAGCGACTAGCGCGTGCAGTCGCTCGCTGCTCGGGTCGATCTCGCTCTGAAAGAAAGCTCCAAGCGCAGCAATCTAGTTTAGAGACGTCTCAAAACGCGCTATCTGGAAAAAAGCTCCAAGCGCAGCATTTTGCGATCTGGCGACCCTGTGTGCGACACTCAGTCGCGTTCGTCCATCTCTTCACGTTGAGAGCTACGTCACAAAATTCCCGGCCCCCAAAACATACCTTCAAACGGTGCATTCTTTTTTCTATGTTCCGTGTGCTGTGTTTGTGCATTGTCACATCTTGCAGGAAACATTGTTGCGGTGGTTGGGGCTGATGTGGTTGTTGGGCAACCACCTAGAAACAACGCGAACATGTGCAAGGAGCGCTCGGAATTCAATTCGCGCTATTGCTGGAAACAGTTGTTGTTATAAATCGCCGACTGTTGCGGGATAATTTTCTTTTTGTTATAGATATGCAATGTGTATGTACCTACCTATTGAAATATTCTTGGTGTTTGCCTAGTTTGTTTGTGGCTTTGATGGATATTGTACCTTTAAATCTGTTGTTTACAATGTGCATATTTATCATGTATCACGTAATTGATGAATACTTCCGTAAACCAATAGATGCTATTAACTCATTTTGTCACGATATATATTTATTGGCTCGCTTTTGGTTAGTTCTTCACGTGCGCTATGCCTGAAGCCTGCAACGATCTCATCTGATTAGGATTTATTACGGTTGCAAAGGAATGAGATAGCGAGTATTGCACTATGTGTCACACTAGTACAAAGTATGATGCCTGTGCATGAGCAATGCTTGGACTGGTCACCGCAGTCCACGGAGCGACGCTTCCTAAGGAGCCTACGACGGTTCAGCAGGCTCTAGGGGGGGAAGCATAGAGAAAAATGGCGCAAAGCCATGGACAAGGAGCTGAAGGCATTAGAGGAACGCAATACCTGGAAGGTCGTTCCTCTCGGCGTCGCACAAAACAAGACTATACTCACCGGGAAATGGGTCTTCCCCGTGAAGACGAAAGCATGCGGCACCATCGAAAAGTTCAAAGCACGATGGGTCGTGTGCGGCTTCGACCAAGAACACGGACGCGACTTCACTGAAACATTCGCACCTGTTAGTCGACATACCTCACTCCGAATTCTTCTCGCGATCGCCATCATGAAGAAAAAGAAGCTGCGGCAAATCGACGTCGCGAATGTCTCTCTCTACGCACCTGTTGATGCAGAAATCTTCGTGGAGTTACCGCACGACAGCAACGGAGAACCTAACAAAGTTTGTCAGCTGCTCAAATCACTCTACGGCATCAAACAGGCTCCGCGGCTATGGCAGCAGTACCTCCACGCCCGTCTCATTTGCATCGGCTTCAAGCAACTGCCCCACGATCAAGGAATGTACCGACTCTCGAAGAACGACGACTACATCCTGCTGATAGTCTACGTGGATGATCTTCTCTACATCGGATCAACCGACAGCATCACCACCTAGTTCGTAGGGGAGCTACAGCAAGATCTCACGCTCACGGTATCATCTACCGTCACACAATACTTAGGGTTTATGGCCCGGGAAGAAGAAGGCGCAATCTACCTCAGCGCCGAGAAATACGCCGACACCATCGCCAAGCGTTTCGCACTAACACCGAGTACCATCTCCACACCATATCGCTACACGTCAGGAAACAACAAGGAAGTCTCCGTTCTACTCAAATCCGCCGGTATACGTGACTACCAGAGGAAACTAGGGTGTCTTCTCTTCGCAGCAGTCACCTGCCGCCCCGATCTCTCGTATTCCGCAAGCGTGCTCGCCACCTACCTCAAAAGGCCCGAAGCCGAACACCTGGCGGAGCTCGACCGCGCTCTCCACTACTTTATCAGCATGCCAACGATCGGCCTAACATACCATAAGAACGCGACTACACCGACTAAGCTGATCGGCTACGTCGACGCAGACCACGCTGGCGACTCCGATAACAGGCGCTCCCGCACTGGCTACACCTACCGACTCTAACCTATCGGCCCTATCTCCTGGCAGTCGAGCAAGCAGGAGTCAATCGCTCTCTCGTCATCTGAAGCAGAATACATCGCACTCTGCTCAGCAACAATTGCAGGACTTTATCTTCGCGAGCTGCTGGAAGAAGCAAAGTTAGCCGAGTTACCAAACTTCACCCTGTTCTGCGACAACCAGTCAGCAATTCGCATCGCCAACAAAAGTGGCTTGGCGAACTGGACGAAACGCATCGCCCTGCGCTACTTCTTCGTAAAGGATGAGATCGAGAAGGGGAGACTCGATCTGTCATACTGCCCCACGTCCGAGATGGCAGTCGACTATTTGACCATGAAACTCGGAAAGCAAAAAAATTATTACTACATGCTGCTGAATGGACAGAGCCACGTCACCAGCTGCGACACTCCAGAAGCGAAGGGGAGTGTTGGAAACATTGAACCTTAAACGCCTCTGTCATGTCGAAACACGGCAGGCACAAGCGAATCAGAGCATATCGAAGCACCCGCGAGTCAACCCCCGTATGAGGTTGAATCAACTGCTGGAGGTTACGCGAAAGTCAAAGGTCAGCGACCTCTGACCTGACAAATGCAACGCGACAGTTAAGGACACACAACTGACTCGTTAGAGAGCAGTTGCCCGAGTCGTACTGTATCGAACCGCAACAGCAAACAGTAAAAGTAGTTATAACTTTACTCTTTCATATTCCTTGTACTATTATATAATCTTGTATCTCATTGCTATAATCAATCTACTTTGCCCTCACATACTAGCGCAAGGTGGTTCACAACATCTTCATTAAAGCTTCCGCTGTTACAACGCTACTCTACCAAGAGTTCTTCCTTGCAAAGATCCTAAGGGCTTTTCTCAGCCCAACCGAAAGGGGTATGGGGCTTATGGGAAGAGGGATATGGCTGGAGCCATGGCTTGCTAGTGGTCTTCTAAGGGGAGAAAGGAGTATGGGGCTTATGGGAAGAGTGATATGGTTGGAGCCATGGCTTGCTAGTGGCCTTCTGAGGGGAGAAAGGAGTATGAGACTTATGGGAAGAGGGATATGGCTGGAGCCATGGCTTCCTGGTGGTCTTCAAGGGGAGAAAGGAGTATGGGGCTTATGGGAAGACGGATATGGCTAGAGCCATGGCTTGCTAGTGGTCTTTTGAGGGGAGAAAGGAGTATGGGGCTTATGGGAAGAGTGATATGGCTGGAGCCATGGCTTGCTAGTGGTCTTCTGAGGGGAGAAAGGAGTATGGGGCTCATGGGAAGAGGGATATGGCTGGAGCCATGGCTTGCTGGGGGTCTTCTGAGGGGAGAAAGGAGTATGGGCCTTATGAGAAGAGTGATATGGCTGGAGCCATGGCTTGCTAGTGGTCTTCTGAGGGGAGAAAGGAGTTGCTTATGGGAAGAGGGATATGGCTGGAGGCATGGCTTCCTGGTGGTCTTCAAGGGGAGAAAGGAGTATGGGGCTTATGGGAAGAGGGATATGGCTGGAGCCATGGCTTGCTGGTGGTCTTCTGAGGGGAGAAAGGAGTATGGGGCTTATGGGAAGAGGGATATGGCTGGAGCCATGGCTTGCTAGTGGTCTTTTGAGGGGAGAAAGGAGTATGGGGCTTATGGGAAGAGTGATATGGCTGGAGCCATGGCTTGCTAGTGGTCTTCTGAGGGGAGAAAGGAGTATGGGGCTTATGGGAAGAGTGATATGGCTGGAGCCATGGCTTGCTGGTGGTCTTCTGAGGGGAGAAAGGAGTATGGGACTTATGGGAAGAGGGATATGGCTGGAGCCATGGCTCACTAGTGGTCTTCTGCGGGGAGAAAGGAGTATGAGGCTTATGGGAAGAGGGATATGGCTGGAGCCATGGCTTGCTAGTGGTCTTCTGAGGGGAGAAAGGAGTATGGGGCTTATGGGAAGAGGGATATGGCTAGAGCCATGGCTTGCTAGTGGTCTTCTGCGGGGAGAAAGGAGTATGGGGCTTATGGGAAGAGTGATATGGCTGGAGCCATGGCTTGCTGGTGGTCTTCTGAGGGGAGAAAGGAGTATGGGGCTTATGGGAAGAGGGATATGGCTGGAGCCATGGCTTGCTGGGGGTCTTCTGAGGGGAGAAAGGAGTATGGGGCTTATGGGAAGAGTGATATGGCTGGAGCCATGGCTTGCTAGTGGTCTTCTGAGGGGAGAAAGGAGTTGCTTATGGGAAGAGGGATATGGATGGAGCCATGGCTTCCTGGTGGTCTTCAAGGGGAGAAAGGAGTATGGGGCTTATGGGAAGAGGGATATGGCTGGAGCCATGGCTTGCTAGTGGTCTTCTGAGGGGAGAAAGGAGTATGAGGCTTATGGGAAGAGGGATATGGCTGGAGCCATGGCTTGCTAGTGGTCTTCTGTGGGGAGAAAGGAGTATGGGGCTTGTGGGAAGAGTGATATGGCTGGAGCCATGGCTTGCTGGTGGTCTTCTGAGGGGAGAAAGGAGTATGGGGCTTATGGGAAGAGGGATATGGCTGGAGCCATGGCTCACTAGTGGTCTTCTGCGGGGAGAAAGGAGTATGAGGCTTATGGGAAGAGGGATATGGCTGGAGCCATGGCTTGCTAGTGGTCTTCTGTGGGGAGAAAGGAGTATGGGGCTTGTGGGAAGAGTGATATGGCTGGAGCCATGGCTTGCTGGTGGTCTTCTGCGGGGAGAAAGGAGTATGGGGCTTATGGGAAGAGGGATATGGCTGGAGCCATGGCTTGCTAGTGGTCTTCTGCGAAGAGAAAGGAGTATGGGGCTTATGGGAAGAGTGATATGGCTGGAGCCATGGCTTGCTGGTGGTCTTCTGAGGGGAGAAAGGAGTATGGGGCTTATGGGAAGAGGGATATGGCTGGAGCCATAGCTTGCTAGTGGTCTTTAGAGGGGAGAAAGGAGTATGGGGCTTATGGGAAGAGTGATATGGCTGGAGCCATGGCTTGCTAGTGGTCTTCTGCGGGGAGAAAGGAGTATGTGGCTTATGGGAAGAGTGATATGGCTGGAGCCATGGCTTGCTAGTGGTCTTCAACCTAGCCAATACGCCACCTAATGCCCACCAACCCTACTTCTGCCCACCATCCCACTTCTGCGCACCCCCTCACTTGATGCGCATCCGCAAAATGGTTCTCACGTATAACCACATTTTGGTGGAATGTTTTACCTGAAATTCTATGTTTCCTTAATGGAGGCTGATACAAGTACACGACAAACTGTCTACAACTATTAACTTGGCAATACAACTCATTATTCGGACCTGCTATAGACAAGGTCACGTGCAACAAAATTAAGGGCATGGAAACTTGTTGTACAATACATTGAGTAAAACATTATCAACAGATTATACATTTTATCCTCACTCCACCACCTCCTGGCAATCCTTTAGCCCCTCCACCTCCACACTCCAATACTTCTGTGCCATTGCCGGCGCTCTTGTCATCAACAGGAGTTGCAGCAATGGAGCTCATGCCATCAGCAGCCAGGTCATCATGACCTTTAAGCAAAGTTATTGAGAGTGTCTCTCAGCTGTACTAGCCTCGCCACACACCTTGTCCCCCAATAACCCCCTTATCCCCCTCCCACCTCCTCCCATCCCACTCACCATTCCCCTCATCCCTCCCATACTCATCAACCCCATTCGTGCCGCTCCTCCCCACGTCGCCGACTTCCGCCCTGCTCCCATCCGCCCACCCATCCCACCTCCCCTCACAGCCGCAAGATCCGATTTCAACCGTGCAATATCGTGCAGCACCATCTTGCCCTTGCCAAGCGCAGCATTGAGCGCCTCCAGTCGCTGACACTCGTATAATGAGGCCGCCAGCCCCATCGCTCCCCTCTTTGGGCAGCCACGTACGCCCAGTCGTTCCCTCCTCACCACAGATCATCCCCGCTCCACCGCCCCTTCCATGCTTGCAACTCCCTCATCCCTCATCTCCCCGCGCCCCCTCTTATCCCCAACGCCGCAATCCCACCCATCCCCATCTTTCCCCCCCCCCCCCCCCCCCCCCTTCCTCCCCCCCTCCTCCCCCACTCCTCCTCCCCCACTCCTCCTCCTTCCCCGAATCAATGTGGCAGGGAAAGGTGTGTGGCATAGGGTTATGGGTCAAGTGGAGGGGGGGTTATTTGTGAAATGCCTCGTGAAGTGCTGTGAAGTTTCGGTAAAGGTGAGTACCTGATTCACTCCTATGCTTCCACATTGTCATCGATATTCCCTGCAAAACACAATAAGTTCGTAGCACCAACGGGAAAACCAATCAATGGGATCAGACAGGGTTTCGCCATCTTCTGGTGCAGTGCAATATGATACACATGCGATACCAGCGCTGCATGGAATGGCGCTTGCGGCCTTAGGATTACCTGTAAGTGGTTTTCGAAGATGAGCCCACCGATTGAGAAACCATATACCCCTGCGCTCGAATGACTTCACAACATGCACCACACTTTTCAGCTTTTCAATGGGAATGACCAAGTACTCTTCCCTTCCCGCTCGACGGTGCAGGGTAGCACATGCTGTAAGCTCGTCTACCTCACCCGTGATCCATGTCCAGACATACGCTAGCTCTCGTTTCTCTCCAGCATGTTGACCAAAAAGCATATCTGCTCGCAGGAGCAACAGAAGCTGGCCATATTCACAGCCACCAGGTGTTCTTGAAAACCTCACGCATGAAAACACCGGCCTTCCTTGGTTTTTTATCGCTGCCCTTGCATACCAGCATATAGCCTGCCGATCTTCATCAACGGACGGGATTGCGACAGCCCTGTGAACCTGCACGGTCAGGTGATTGTTGGGCAGAATACGTGAACCCATCATGTATCTCATACTGAAAACCAAGTAACTATTGCGAGCGATGTTCTCCTTACATGTACAGGAAAACTTTGATAGCCAGCGCGCCTCATTGTGTCCCCGTATGGACCCAGGTTTCCACCATTAGCCTCCATATATGAAGTGTAAACATCTTTGGAGGCTGCCCTACTAGAGTCGCCGTACGTGATTAGGTCAGATTCTAACGAGAGAGTGGGCGAGCCCGTCCGCATCGCCTGCATAACGATGGATGGGGAACAAGTAGTTGAGGCGATGACATGTGCAACTGCGGCAAATGTGGGTGACGCTGAGTAGAGTAAATAATATGACATACGTCATAAAGGGTGTCTAAAGCTGTATCGGGGATGTGTGTGGGGGGGGGGGTTGGATGTGGTGTCGCACAACTAGTGCATGCACAGGGGGTGATACATACCCGCACGGCTGCAGTGTCGTACTTGCGTGGCGGGGGGAGTGAGCTCTTTATGCGGTGAAGCATATCTTGCGTCACATTGTGCTTCAGAATGGTTTCCTCGTACTGGCGATGATTGGATGCGCGGTAGGGCTGTTTGCAGTGGCGTGCATGCGCGTTCTCCCACACGAAGGCCGCAAACTCTCGAGGCAAGCCACCACGACGAATGGAATCAGGAAGGTGTGTGAGTAGATGAATTTTTATCAGGTTCCAACCATGGCCAGATCGTGGAAAAGCGGTTTCAAGCAGCCGAACCATCCTGCGCAGACAGGATGGTGACATACTGTAAGTGTAAGCAATGGGCAGACTGGAAAACGTATGTTACATGTGTTTGGGGTGAAGGGCAGATGGGGCACATCGGATGGGATCACTGAAACACCTGAAGCCATGGCATGGCTGTGGGTTTCCAAGGGGGAGCAAGCAGGGCAGATGGGGCACATGGGATGGGATCACTGGAACACCTAAAGCCATGGCATGGCTGTGGGTTTCCAAGGGGAGCAGGGCAGATGGGGCACATGGGATGGGATCACTGAAACACCTGAAGCCATGGCATGGCTGTGGGATTCCAAGGGGAGCAGGGCAGATGGGGCACATGGGATGGGATCACTGAAACACCTGAAGCCATGGCATGGCTGTGGGATGGAAAGGGGAGCAGGGCAGATGGGGCACATGGGATGGGATCACTGAAACACCTGAAGCCATGGCATGGCTGTGGGATTCCAAGGGGATCAGGGCAGATGGGGCACATGGAATGGGATCACTGAAACACCTGAAGCCATGGCATGGCTGTGGGATTCCAAGGGGATCAGGGCAGATGGGGCACATGGGATGGGATCACTGAAACACCTGAAGCCATGGCATGGCTGTGGGATTCCAAGGGGAGCAGGGCAGATGGGGCACATGGGATGGGATCACTGAAACACCTGAAGCCATGGCATGGCTGTGGGATTCCAAGGGGAGCAGGGCAGATGGGGCACATGGGATGGGATCACTGAAACACCTGAAGCCATGGCATGGCTGTGGGATTCCAAGGGGAGCAGGGCAGATGGGGCACATGGGATCACGACATTGGATAACATCTTACGAGGGTGTGACTTTGAATTGATGGTCACTTACTCGAGAGCATCCTCCTGCATGCGATCAAGGCTGGCATCCGTGTGGCTACTGGCTTGTATGTAGGTTTGATGCCACCCAAGGAGAAAGTTTAGTGCTTTATGTCGCGCTGGGGCAAGCTGACCTTCGACAATGAAAGTTATAACCTGAGAAGAAGCAAAGAGTATAGTAGAAATGATGTTATGTTGTGACCAAGGGCAAGCGCTGCACGCATTAACACGTACTCACCGACATCATGCCAGAATGTTCAGCCCCTGTGTAGCGAGCACCAGAAATGAAGTATTGTCCTGGTATTGGCACAGGAAGGCCTGCTAAGCGTGCATCAGGATACAGCGTCATGTACCTTCTGCAAGCAACAAAAATCATCATAACAAACGAAGAATAGTATAATAGATGCCCGAGGCAGGGCGAAGAACGGACAGTATCAATGTGCATGCGCGTTTCGGTTGCACATCTTAGCTATCGCACTCACTCTTCGTAAATCTTGGCAATATCCTTGTCTTTGATTAGAAGAATCACCACGTGCTTCCACACTCCAATGTAGAACACATGCAGAATGTCTAGCATCAAGGATAAATATGTGTTGCCCCAGGGTGTTCTCGAAAACTCAAAGCCCCAAAGGGCAGACTGGTGTGTTGAAAGGGATGGTAGGGGATTTAGGGACTTATGCTACCCCTGAGACAGGTGACGGATTTCCCGAGTCACTGCAAATGTGGAAGATGTGGAGATTTGACAGATCGGAAATAACTTGGAAAACAGGTTATCCAAATAAGGAGGCGTGCCCGGTATTGAAGATGCAATTTTGTGCAAAAACACATGAGTTTACAATGCCGATGAATCATCCCCTAGAGAAACCCGGGTCGTCATGTCTCACCACAAGGGGGATGGTTGAGTATTTATGGGCTTCATCCGCATCGCACAGGAGTTTAGTCTGCCCGATCACTGTCCGAAGATGGACAGGGTTCGTATCCATATGTCGTAGCCATGCCTTTGATATATAGCAAAGGGAGCACGGCCTTGCTGACTTCAGAGACAGCGTGCAGGACACCCTACAAGTCTCTGGGTAGTCACCAATGTACGCATAGAGCAGTGTTCGCACCTTGTGCGAAACACCCCAAGGGTCCACCATGTCAACCGGCCTGCACCATTGGATAAGTGGCATGGGCAAGCATGGTAGGGGTACGATGAGAAATGAGAGCGTAGAGCTCTTTTCATGGTCAAAGAGTCATAATCCCAGATACTCATCAATCTAGGCTATTCTACCTATGATGCCTTTTAGCCAACCTACCCCACTCACCATTCTAACAGGTTCTACCTATTATGCCTTTCAGCCAACCTACCCCACTCACCAATCTAAAAGGTTCTACCTGTTATGCCTTTCAGCCAACCTACCCCACTCACCAATCTAACAGGTTCTACCTGTTATGCCTTTCAGCCAACCTACCCCACTCACCAATCTAGGCTATTATACTTGCACGTCTATCTCGACTTTGTGGCCCCTGATCGCCCAGCTGACTTTTCCCTCGTTTGATTTACCTATGCAGCTAGACCGTCAAGAAACTCTGCCGGGGTGCAATTGCTACCGCTCTGAAAACACAAAGTTTATGTGCCCATTTTTACATGCTTACTGTTTAGATGCCTGATGCAGCTCGCGAAGAATGATAGCCATAGACTTTTGGAACAACTCCACCTTTTGCAACGGGGTCATGTGCTTATCAGGTTCTGGCAATAAGCCCACAAGTACTTTTCCGGCCGCATGCCACCGTCTGTGCCACGGAATGTTGGCGCAGGAAATGTACACCGGCCAAATGCGAGTCTTCATTGTGCCATCAAGGGTTGTTTGATCGCTTGCAAGAATCACCGGGCAGATGACTTCGCCATCTGGCACATGGGCCTGAAGGGCGCAATAGAATGGTTCAAACCCATAATGCAGGGGTAAACGACTTTTTGTTAGCCCAAAAGGAGTGGGGGTTTTCATGACTTCAAGTTACCTTGCGTGCCTTGTCATTTGCATCCATATTAAGACTGTGCAATCCACTACACGACACCATACGTACCTGTGCTTCCATCCAAAAGCTTGCACTACTTGGCGTTGTATAAATGTGATGTTTATTCACATCGAGCCACGGACTGGCCCATAACTGAAAGCCCGAAGCGTTGCTCGGATCTCCAAAAAGGTCACGCAAAGCCTTGTGGTCAAACGGGAATCAATGGGATGGGGAAAACACAGTCTGCGTCTGATAAAAATGGTCAATCATGTACTACTATGCCGCTATGAGGATGCATGGAGGGGGGGATGGGGAATGGATGTGAGAGGAGCATGAGAGGAGAGGGGAGGGAAGATGGGAATTAAGATCATAGTCACATGACAACTTTTAAGATCATCTCCCCAGCTCACAAGCCCTATCGCGCACCAGCTCACCATCTCCCCAGCTCACCAACT